ATCTTGTTTGTTTTTCTTTCCTTGATTTCAAGGGTTACATTTCTTATCTGTCCATGTAAAACAACTAAAAGGCCATCATCACGGTTTGATATCATGCATTTCATCAGCTATAACCTCCATACAGTAGGTGAAGCCTTTCAGTTATTTTTGAATAAAGAGCACCGTGTCCATTAACAGGAAGATTTTCTAAAAGTGACGCCTCTGTTTCTCACCAAACAATCAGATAGTATACAGCAGCAGTTCTCTGAGTATAAACATGCTGAGATATGAGCTTTATCGCCCTCATTTATCTGACATCTGGGATCTCTCTTTTCAACAGTGGTTGCATCAGCAGAACCGTTGTCCACAGCAGTCAAACCGCTTTTGCTTCCCCTCTTTTTTGTATCCCAGATGGGCAGGTGCATGTGTATATATACAAATACCCCTCTGTCATGTGCTCGCTCACTTTTTCTTTTTTTCTGTCTCATGCACAAGTATCTGTATAAAGGCACGCCACTGAGTACGGACTACAGCATTCTTCACAGAATTTTAACCATTCTTTCCTTTTTTGTATTTAAAACTTGTCAATCGAATGTTGTGATTTGAGAGGTCCAAGAAGCTACATTAAATTCTGCCTCAATCGCCAAAAATCTAACGACAGAGGAGAAAATAGTTTTGCTGTTTCACTTTCCTCCTCCCACTGTTTCCCACTTTCTGTTGTTTAAAGGAGAAGTACACCGATCTGACAAGGGACACTGACACCTTTCATCACCCCCTTCCCTCTTTATGCAACAACTGCATTGTGGCCGGATGCCATGGGTAGGTACTGTAAACATCGCTGCCTTTCTCCCCCTCTCTCTAACACAATAGCATCCAACGTAATTGAGGCATGCAAGTTTTGTGGCTGCCATATGCCAAACATGGCCGAGATAAATTGCTTTGGAGGGAGGAAAGAGTAAAGTAGAAAACTGTTGTTCTGTGATTAAATCATTCAGGAGTAATTCTTTAACATTTTGCAAGACAAACAGAGCAGTTTAAAGATTTCTTTTTACTATCAGTTGATGCTGCTACTGCAACTCATTTTTGGCTATAATTTGTAGGATTAAGCACCCTATCAAGCTTCTTTTCAGTTAAGTGTGATATTACTTAAATGTGGGCTTTTCTTTGTCTCTGAAGAGCATATAGCCCTCTCTCTTTAGCCTATCCTGCACACTGCAAACAAGTCTGGACAGCTATGTATCTCATCCCTCTGCGGATAAACACTGGCAGGAAATGAATGCGGTTTTACAGTGATTCACTCCATACTGGAAGCATTTGTTGTCAAAGAAAAACATTCAGTGCAGCCTTGGCTTCACATGTTTACTATTTTCTCCTGTTTCGGTAGATTTGTATCTTTTCAGTTGGCTGTTTTCTATGCTGAAGTTGCTGTGATTATGACATTCATATCATATGGTAGTTTTACTATACTATATGTATATTTTTGTAGTGAAAAATATATCAGGTTCCTGAATTGTATTTTTGTGTCTTGACTTGTTCTCACACTGTCTATTGCTATTCTCTTCCCTTTCTGCTTTCCCCACGATCCCATGTATCTTTATGTCTCCTTTTAAACTTCACTATCTTTATTAGTCAAAAGTCGACGTGCCCGAGGCCAAAGCTTAAACCACAAAGTACAGCTGGTTAGGGACTGTTGGAAAGAGTAATGAGTTTTACCTTTAGCTGAACCATAAAGGCTGGTTCCTGCCATTGGGGATTCCTAATCTGAAGTGAAGACAACACAAAACCAAACGTACTTGCATAATTTAAAGCCCTATCTTCCTGGCTGTAATAACCACCATTTTAAAAGCTTTTAAATGTCTCTTTTTGTCATAATTGACAACAAAACCTGAGTTTTTGTTGAGTTCTGGAAAGACCAGGATTTTTTAAATTGTTACTTGATAAGTTATGTAAGATAAAATTTAACTCTACACAGATGTGGTGTTTAACTTAAAGAAATTGAGTTTGAGAAACTTGTAAGTAATCCAGTCACCAGAGTTACTCACCTCTCGTGATTGTTTAGGAATCTTTCACATCAAACTATTTTTGTATTACATCTTTCGCTTTTGCACTTTCCAAAAGCTTTCACCATTCTAGATTCTGGCCGCAAATGTTTTCAGCCTTGATCATTATTTTTCTGTGATCATGTTTCTGTTTTTTTATTTACTTTATTTTTGATATCTGTTATATCTGTTTAATCGGGTTCAGAGTTGTGCAGGTACTGGTTCCTTTCACTTTTCTGTCTTTCACTACCCACCAACTGGATTCAGTTCCTCCTGTCACTCTCTGTTTTTTAGGCCACACATACACAGCCTCAATTTACTGTCCTTGGGAATCAGCCATATGTAGGCCACAGATGATTAAATCCCAACTCTGGAATCCTGGACACAAAGACAGATCAATAACCTCGACTAAGCCATAATCCCATTTATAACAAAAACAACTAGGAGGAGTATCGTAACTGTTTCTCCTCAAGACTTGTCTTTTGTCTTTTGATCCACGGAAACATTTTGGGGAGGCAAACATCAGAGTGACCAATAAGACCACATGTACAGGGTCTTTTTATCCAACCCTTATGCTCATGATTTAGCCCTTGGTAAACCAGTAAACATCACTGAGAGTGAAATACAGTATATTTTGTGTTTACAGGCCTGTTCGTTTCCCAAACAGCTTGTACGAATTACTGCACTGAAAACCAAAGTGAACAAGAACCGCTTGTATGGTGTTTTAGAGTTGGAGAAGCCAGATGCCTTTCATTAGATAGGATGAGCATCAGAAACTATATCTTGCCATTTCTCTGCCTTTGTGTCAGTGTGAATGAGGCGGAAGACAGTGTTTTGATTCTAGTTGTGTTTGATTTGGTAGTTGGAAATTAGAGCCTTGTTAACTGCCAGGCTTTCTACAGTTTGCCTAAGGTGCTTGAGTCTATTTTACGAGAATATTCTTTTTTTTTTTTTTTTGAGGTGGAGGGTTGAGGTAGAGGGGGGTCTTTTGCAGGAGCCCAGCAAATATACACATGTTCCCTGAGAAACCAAGACATCTGTTGTCTGTGAGAAGAGAGCACCAGGAGAGGAGGTCTCTGCTGAGGGGTCTCAGTGATTCACTTGGTACCCATTGTGACTACAGTGCTGAGTAATTGGTAAGAAATCGACACATAAGATGTTAAAGGAAGGCGTGTCAAGTCAGAAAGGAAGGAAAACAGGCCACCTCATTCCCAGAGAAAGGAAAAGAAGAAAGAAAAAAAATAACATGAATACAGAGCAGAATAGGAGCAAAGATCTTCACCCAGATCCCACTCACCCTCCTCCCTTCCCCTCTGTATCCCTTCCAGACCTAGACTCCAGACTAGCTTCATCCTTGTAATTTAGATTAATTTCTTCCACATTTTCCTCAGGGATTAGGCTGTACCTCTCAACCCCACCCCCTGCCTTTCTACCCAAAGCACGGCACACACATAAACATGCACAGCTCACCCCCTGCCACAGTTTCCTAATACTCTCATTATTAGACTACATGCCCTTTATGTCTAGCCCCACCCAGTCTTGACTTTCATACAAATCACCCCAGAAATGTAAAAAACAAAAATAATAAGTTTAGTTGAGGAAAGTCAATATATCACTCCACTGCTAATGTCTTTTGTGGCATCCATGAAGATTTGCTGTCGACATTAAAGTTAACACAACTTCTACTGTTTAAATAAAGCATAGTCCAATTAGAAAGGGGGTAATTATTATTCTAAGTAGCTTGTTATGTGACAATTGAAAGAGTTTAAGTTGTTTGACCACACTTACCTCAGTTTTATTAACTATAAAAGTTTTTAGATCCACTAGCTTGGCAAACAATAGGGGTGCTAAAACTTGGATGCAGCAATTACTTTAGAATGAGCTTACTAAAAAGAATAGTCTTATCGGGACACAAATAAAACTGATCATATTCTCTAAATATTGTGGGATACCACACACTGTGTTAATACCAACTATTTAATGTTATTGAAGAGGGGGTTTATTGTCAGTAAACCACTCTAAAGAAATACAAACAAAACTATTTACAGCAACAAGTTAACCAATACAGTAAAGCAAAGACATTTGGAGGGATTACAGACCCAGTCAGTACATCTAAATATATTGAAAGCTAATATGTTTTAGTAACTCTGGCTTTCATTTACACTAATATTTGTGCTACAGTGTGATGCAACAACTTTGCAAACATGACAAGGCTTGCTGTTTCGCTAGTATCAAAAATATGGTTTGAACATTACAAATTCAAAGGTCTTTTATATATTAGTTCTGAAATTATGAGTGTGAAACTATTGCTAGTTAAATTAAAACTAACTAACTGAAGACTTCATCATATTTGATTAAAAAAAATGGTAATGGCCAGATTTGAAAAATATGTTCACTGCAAGGTATGTTTTTTAACTCTCTTTGTTCTACCTGTAGCTGTTTAAAGCAGCAGGAAACTTTTGAAAAACTTTGTCCAAACAGCATTAATAAAGTATACAAAGATAATGCACAGCAGCAATACTTTCAAAATTGAGAATTTCATTACTATTTAAATCCTTGGTTGTCAACCAAGTTTAAAATATCCTCAAAATGGGAATGAATTGATACATTGTCAATGTAAAACTTTTCAAAAGAAAAATCTCGTTTTTCTGAGACAAGCGATTAGTCTTAGAAATTGGGCTCCTTTTCAGACCAGAAAAAGCACAAAGGAAAAGGAAAAGACCAAAATTGGCAAAGAGGCATAAACAAAACAGAACTATAATTTACAGACAATGCACTGTATATTTTTGTTGCTTTATGCTGAATTTTGATATCTAAATAATACCCTTTTTAAGACTTAAGGTGAAGTTTAAAATATACTGCACATTTCACAACTTCCTCAATTTAACTGACCTAAATTGTAAGATTGTTAAAAAATTATCCTAAACGCATTGCTTTGAAGAAGAAAGCTGTCATGTGGGGCACAGGAGCCAGACTACTGGGTGGAAATCATATTGTTTATTTCTCTTCACCACTGCACACAGATAACATAATGCAAATTTTGTTACTCTTTAGAACACACACTCCTGAATATCCTATTTTTAACACATACCTAAGTTTATTCACAGTTCCTGTACAGAACCACAAATTTGCAATTTCCTTTATAACAATGAATGGCTCAAGTACAGCATGAGAAGTGTCTGATGTACTTCATAAAAAACATACATAACAAATTACAATTCCAGAGCTTCACACAGAAATCAGCAACAATTTTCAATTGTGGTTTGAAAAACTTCAAAATTAAATTAACAACAGAAAAACTGTAATTTTGGTTGAACATGGACACAGTTGGTAACCCCTTTGCCCTATTCTGTTTTCCTCTATGTATTTGCATGTTCTCCATGTGTGGGTTCTCTCCAGGTACTCTGACTTCCTCCCACTATCCAAAAATATATCTGGCATTTGGTCTTTCTACGTTGCTTTTAGCTACGAGTGAGTGTGTGTTGCCCGTTGATGGACTCACAACTCAGTGACCCTACAAAGAAAAGCAGGTATAGGCAATAGAAGGATGCACGGATGGATGTTTTTATCAAACGTTCATTATATAAATTATAAAAATAATTATGTTACCCCTAATTGCACAAATTTTAATTTAAACAAAATTATTAACAGGTCAAATATTTTTAGCTTGCCTATTTCCATTACTGACCAAAATGCATTAAATTCCAAACACTGACTACACTAGTAAATTTTTTAATTATATTTTGTGATGCAAGCAAAAGCTATCTAGAGATACAAACAGCCATTTTTCTCATGAAATCACCACCCGCTGCCTATCTTCACAGAGCCAAGAGCAAGCTTAAAGCCACTGGTGATTTACAGATAAGAATGTACTACCGTCATCTTTCTGACTTGTCGTTTATGACTTGGGATGTTAGGACCATAGTTTAACTCATAAAGTGGTTTCGGTGGTTGGGAACTGCAAGCGAGCGATTAGTCTGACTGCAAACGAGCCTTAATGCATTACAGATTTCAAACACATTTCTTGAGACGAAGTGGTTGACTGAACAGAGAAGGGTAACAGTTAACAGCAAAGTATCTGTGAATGTTTGGGCCAAATCTTTTGAAATTATTACAAAAAGAAAGAGGAAAAGAGCATTGACACAGAATTCTTTCTATGTGTTTCTCTGCTCGGAGATGATTGAAAACAATGAAAAATGTTTAGTGAAACACAAGATCATGTGGTAAAATAAAAAATAAAAAAAATTAGACATGACATCAAGTTATTCCCATTTTGGCACATTTCTTCTCTGTCCTTTGAGCTTCGTCACGTGACTTGCCATGACCTACATTAAAAGGTCATGCAGTCAGAGCTAACTTGAACTACAGCTACAGTTCAGTGAAGCTGGAGTTGACAAGTACCCCAAGGCTTTAATAATGAAATGTAAAAATTACATTAGCATGTCAGTTATATATCCAATTAAGGAGGTTTCTGAGTCCCTCTCTTTGTTCTTAGAAGAAGAAGTGGTGAATGAGATCAACAAGCTCATGCTTGTCTCCAGTTCCCAGCTACCTTAGGTGTGTCATATGGGAATTGCTCACCCTTGCTCACAGTTTAGAGTTTGACCAGTTTTTATATTGCCAAAGTTTTAGAAATCACACGGAAAAGGATGACACATGGAAAACAGGTGCACTCACAGTTTGTAGCTAAAACTTTTTTTACTTGGTGGCAATGTTCCTAAGGTTTTAACTGTGTACCTTGGCTGCTCCTTTGGCAGTTCCAGCCAGCTTTGGCTACAGCTGCCAATCTTTGATCTTCTATCAAACTTGCCCATAGAAGATTGTCTTTGCAGACAATAGACGATAAAAATGAATGGAATTTGTGTGTCTTCCAAAACAAAAACTCTCTTATGTGACTGAGTGACAGTCTGAAAGACAACTAATAAGAAAGTGAACAATCAGTTCTGTCTGTTCAATCAGACATTTTGACTTAGGGAGGTGTTAACTCAACTTGTGTTCAGACATTTATCACAGATACTCAAACAGTCCTGCTTTTTTCTTCTTCTGCTTATAGCTTGCACCATCATCTGCTCTCCCTGCAATTATCTACTCTTTCAGGCCCATGCATACGGCATAACATGAATAACTGAAGGCAGTTAAAGTCAACTGCTGTGAGGGCTTTGAGCCACTGGGTTCAGGTTGACAGGTCTGGTTAGACTGGTTTCTGAGGGGAGAGGCTGATACTTGTCTTACTGCAAGGGATCTGCAGCTAAGTGCAACTGCTGCTTCTTCTTTACTGTGTAACATGCTTTTTGTAGATTGGTTTCTCCTACTGACCTCCATGGACATACTTCTGAGAAAAGTAGATAAAAATGATAACATTGCAAAAATAAAAGTAATATAATTTAAAAATAGCTCTTTAAATTAACTGCAAAATGCTTTTCTTCTATCACTACTGCATTGGTATCATTCATAGAGTAGGAATAAATACAGTAACAGATCACATGCATTCTGTCTTAGATGTTCAACTTTTCCTTGTTGCAGCACCTACTGAAATCAATTTTAGAAGTCTGCCCACTTTGCATCTGTCACTGATATTTATCAAACTACTCCTGATATACATAGAGACAGTCAATATAGTTCAATGTGGACTGGCTGGGCAAGTGATGATTAAGCAACCTTGTTTCCTATGCAAGCTTGTCAACAGTTTTTCATCAGTCTCTCACAGACTTCAAAGGTGCTCTCAGCAGTATGGGGAAACTTGTAGCAGTAGACTGAAACAGAGTAGAAAAGGAGAGGCTCCACATTAGCTTGACAACATATTTGTTGCATCTTAAAACTGTAACTCAGGAAAACCTTCAACATTGCAAACCTTTTTTGCAACATGTGGCTGAAGTATCAGATATTTTTATGTTGCTTTAGTTTAGATTTTTGCATAAAAAGCAACATGTAACACAAAGAATGAACTTATGCAATGTAACCAGTAAAGTTGCAGCTGACGTGATTTTAGAGACAGTGCATCTCAATAATTACAGTATCATTGCAATGAGTTGTTTATTTCAGTAATTCAATTCAAGAAGTTAAAGGACGTTATAAAAATTTATTGCGTTGAGTTTTATTTCAAGCATTCTATTCTGTTAATTTGGATAATTGCGGCCTTCAACTTGGCACAAATTTTTGTTTCAGACATTTCAATATTTGTTTTTGAATAATACCAATTACATAATTATTTTTATTGCACAAATGTTATGTCATGATCCATTAATAAATGATGCATCCATAATTGGTAGTTTGGGGAAAGGAAAAAAAGCTAGACAAGCAATAGGCATAAGCACTACTAAAGAAAAAATTGTTTTGACACATGGATGAGGAGCCTTGACCATGCACGTTACATAGACATACTTTTCACTAGACTCGCATTATGTTTTTGAGCCGAATGTTGTGTAAAAAATAATTTTCAGAAAGAAAATTTGAAGTTTTATTTGGTGTGTTTTGTAATTATAAAAAATAACATAAAATACACACTTTGATTATTTTAGTCTGTTTTCAGTTTCAATTTATGCAGTTTATTTATATGTATTCAAAAATTCTGTTTTTGAATTGAATTACTGAAGTAATTTAAAAAAACTGTGAACAACATTCTAAAGTATTAAGATGAACCTGTACACCATTGTCTATGCTTTTTGTCTCATGTAACACAATTTATAAAATTCATGCCAATATACTTTAATTTACTGAAATAAATTAAAGTTGTTAAGAATGAGGACCGTTCTTTAAAAGTAACTTTTGAAATCCAGATTAACATGGGAGCCGAACCACCTGAGCAACAAGAAACCAAGAATATTTCAAATAAAATCACCATCAACCATTTTCTTAGTTCAAAAATAAACAAGTCATTTGCCTGCTCTCCACAACACATCTTTGTCCCTCACATGATGCGCTGTTGAGGTCTACGCCTTCAATGAGCTACACAGCCTATTTGTGAAGCTGACTGAGAGCAAATAATGATGACTACTGTTCGTATTACTTTAGTAGGGGGAATTTTCTTTGGCTGTTTATCTACAAGGAAATCTTCCAACACATGACTTAACCATTTTCTGTGAACTATCGCTGAAAAAAGTAGGCCATAAAAAAGGAAATGTGTGTTTCTGTGATCTGGGCAACATCACTTGCACACCGGATCTGGCTTCAGGCTTTCATTTTTTATTTGTATTTGATCCTGGAACTTTGAAACATTTTTTTTTTTTTTTTTTTTTTTTTTACATCTTTAACAAAAAAAAGGCAAATCATGCCCATTTCCTAAACTCTACTTGAGGAAAGAAAATCTAACCCATTTTAGAAAGTTTCTAACACATCTTGTAAAAAGTTAGACCATATACCTCAGTGATGCTATTATTTACACAAACCCATTAAATTATGACATAAATTAAAAAATATATATTTACATTCCAGGACAACAAATTGAATAAAATTCTATGTTTTGACATTTTGAATTTAATGTCTAGTTAAAAACATTTTAAAAGAAAGAAAAATGTACAAGTACACACATTCTTACGACACGCATTCATAGTAAAAATGTTGTTTGGCTGATGTTACCTCATGCTTTCAAACACCAATATTGGAGAACAAAATTATGTGAATGTCTGTCTTCCACACAAACACGAGTATTTTGCAGCATCTTTAAAGTCTCTGGTGTGTGAATGAGCACTGACTGAAAAATTATTGCCAGACTTGAATTGTCTCCCATTAAACAAAGCATGATAACACTGGAGTCAGAACGGGATGTACAAAACAATAATAAAAAAAACCCCAAAGAAAACAGAGTGTATTGTTGCATCTCACTCTTTCGTTATGTCTCTTCCTTTCTGTCTGTCTCTCACACATAAACACACACGCGCACTTAAAAATTGTCCTTTGCAGGTCCATTGAGACACAGGAAATCAGTGGATTTGCCTCCAGACTGAAGGTTTCGGGCAGGGAGAGGGGTGCTAAGAGGAATTCACAGCCATTGCAACTCATCTTAAAATGATGTCCACAAGAAGAAAAAAAAAAACTGAATGCACTTGTTCCCATCCCCTTTTAATAAAACTGTAGTTGAGTTGAGATTGTATGGAACTGCATTGCTATTATTTGATGGTATGTTTAACCATCACAGAAGCAGCTCCCAAAAAGCCGAGTCCACAGAATTCCCTATTTGAAGTCAGCACTTACCGATGTGTAGCCATCTGTGACAAATCCAAAGTTTTGTAGAAATATACATTTACATCGGAAGCACACATACACATCCACATACAAAATAAGCTCTCAAAATGGTAATACTAAAGATAAGTTTCAAAAAGTCCAAAACAGGGAGAGGGCAGCAAGAATGAGTGTATTCTGCGATTGTGAAATTCAGGTTTTCTCCTTTTGAGCTCTCATTTCCTGTGCTTGTCCATTTTGTCAGTGGACTTGCTCCCGCTCTCCGAGGATCCCTGCGTTTCACTGCCAGAACTCAAGTACATCTTGTCCACTTGTTTGAGCGCCTCATTTAGGTAGTTCTGGAGGGAGGTCATTGCAGCGCAGATGGCTGGAGAACCAAATCCATGAGTGATGAGGCTGAAATGAGTCAGGCAGCCCTGGATTCCAGGCTCCAAGATGGGCGCCGGCCTTGAGTTTCCTAACGGTGACCGGTCCTGTGTGAGCAGGTCAGTAAATTCTTTGCAGATTTGCCTGAGGGGAGAGAAACCAAAGTCAGGATGGATGCAATAATATACTTGGCCTGAAAGCCAACCCAATAGATAACACAGTTGGTGTTTCACTAAGGTAGCTGCTCTACTGCCAAAATAACAGAGCAAAAACAGGCTTTGAAAAACGAAAAAAAAAAAAGGCAAGTTGCAACCTGACTCAGTTACAAGTGAATAAATGCGTGCAAATAAGATGCAAACCACAAATTAGGAATACTGACTTAGCAGCGAGGAGCATGTTCTTGCGAGAGTTGACCTCGTTGCGCTCCACATGGGGCCTGCCCAAGTATTCAGCTATTGCCTTTGCAGGAAACTCAGTCTCGCATACATAACCAAAGTCTCTTGCTAAATGAACAGCTTCACCTGTAGAAACAAAAATAAAAAATCAGTTGTTGTTAGACACAGACACAAGACATTTCTTCTTCCAGACAACTCCCCCAAAAACTACTCTAGAATCACACCATATTCTTGCACACAAAGGGAAAAGTTTATACTGTTGTTTAAAAAGTTGGATGAAAAGGAAACAATTCCCTCTAACTGCTACACTCATTCCTTCCAAAACAACTGCAGTAATTAGGGTGTCGAATTCTAAACCACGTAGAAGTGACAACAGTGGCTCTTCTGGTCTGAGCTCAACATAATTAACATGCACTTTGGTGGCATGAGTCATGTATCTTACACCTAAGTTCTTATAAAAGCTATGCTCAATAATAAGCAAAAAAGACAGACTTCCAAATATTACTTCCACTGGTTCTGAATTGCACCTTTTTCCTGTGAATGTTAAGTTGAACGGCTTTACTCATAGGACACAAGTAATGAAAATGTGAAATATTACATTTAATAAATTTTGAGCAGTTTAAATTGGGTCAGACTTTTGTTTTCATTTTCCTTATTTTAAATAACAAACATACAATTACTAGTAAAGAGAAATGGAAATATGCTTATTCCATATTTGCCCCCCTGATGCCAGTGTACAGTGAATATGTGCCACCCTGTAAAATATTTACAAACGTATTGTAAAGTGTTTCCCACACTGAGCCAAGAATGAACAATTATTTTTGACATTATTGTTTGTCTGCTTTTGTTTACTTGTTGAAAAATAAATGAAACTAGTATGAGGTTTAGCGAAGAAACCTTATATGTGCAATTAATTATTTTTGACCATTTTGCAGAAAAAAAAGGCATTGCATGTGAATTAAATAGCTTCAAATGTGAAATAAAAGTCAAATAAACAGTTTTATTATTTCATGACTGGTTTTTGATTCTATTGTCCAATTACCATAAAATGTGGATTTTTTCATCATGTCTTTACGACTAAATCGGGGTTGTTCTTATGCTACTATATGATATCAAATTTTCAAATGTGACTTGTAAATGTATCAAGATCTATAATTTATCTATTCACACAATATTATTGTCAGCCCTACATTTCAACCTGTTGGAAAGAAAGTCTTGCTTGTGGAAAACAAAGCCAGTGGAAGGAATTTATTTCCATCTTGGGGTTGCTTTGATTTGCTCTGTCATAACGGGCTTATGTGGATAAATGGTAATACTGAGGGCATAAAGCACCTCAAGCTATGCTTTTTTGATAGTCTTGCACATAACTAACAGGATTCAGGCAGATGTTCAGAAGCACAAGCTTTAAGGTCAGTAAGCCCTCCTGGGGAGCTGAACACAACATAACAATGCTTAATTCAGCTTTGAAGGTCTCGAAATAAAACAGGCCTCCAGTCACTCTCCTGCATAGAATCATTAGCCTTAAAAATGAATGGGAATCTAGAAAGGGAAAAAAAAATATCCTGCTTCAGCCAGCGGCAGGTAGGCGATGTGAAAGTGATACTGTGATCATATGAAAGTCTAACCGTATCAAGATACATCTGGCGTGCATAAGGTGACACATTTTTATCTTGCCTTTAGCTCATGCTATGAAATAGCACTACACCAATAAAACTTGGTCTGATGGGATATTGGCTGGTTTGCATTAAAAAAATACAAAATAATAATAATCAGGGTATGTAATTAAAAACTGGAAATGTTCTGTTTGGAAATTTGAAAACAAAATAAGCATTTTTCACTGAACCGTAACAAACAAATATAAAAATAGATTTTACTCTTGCTGCACTAAACAGAGAAGGATTCATTTCTGAGAGAAGTTTGCTTGTTAGAAGTTTTCTGTCAGTCCATTTCTTTTCGGTGGATCCAGATAGCTGTTTATAGAGAATAAAGCCTGAATGCCTCATGGACATGTTTTTATTGTCTCAAAACAAAAGTAAAAAGTAAAACATTGCCATTGGCAAAGCTTTTCTTCTATTTCTTTTTTGACCAACAGGAGAGGCAAATCATCCATGTAAAAGGTTACCTAATGCATACACAGTGCTTGCTACTTAAACACCTTTCTCAAGAACAAAGCTGGTTGACAGGCAGCTTGAATTGTTTTATGACGACGCTCTAATAAAAACACGCTTTGCTGAAGACAATGACACTTGTACATTCCCACGCTATTTGAGCAGCATTCCAGCCGGCGTAAGACGCAGTAAAAGTCAGAAAGGTGCAATATGCTATGAATGATGTGTCATACCTTCTACAAGTGAGGTAAGTAGAGTGACATTGGCTGCCTTCCTCCTTCCAGCAGGCAAATTAAGCCCAATTTTATCCAGCTTCTCTCGCAGAGAACGACCTCCATTTTTTGACTTGGCTCTGCAGGATGACATAAAAACAAATTGAGTCCAACTTCTTGAAATCAGCAACAGAGTTTAGATGTACATCATTTCAGTTTAAGAAAAAAGAATCTCACCAATCCCATTAGTATATTGTTTTCTATTTTATGAGTTTTGGTGATTATTATTTAAGAAAATTGAACGTGCATTAAAAGAAAATAGTGTGTGAAATTTTAGAAAAGAAGGTCTCCCTCTGTTTAATATTCTAAAATATAAACTGCTTCACTTAACCTGATAGGAAAAACAAACAAACAAAAATTCTAATGATTCAAAATCAAAACAGATGCATCACTCAAACATGCATTTGTATAGGCTCTCATACACTTAACTTTCCTTGGCAGAGTCAATTTTCTGCATGGTCAGGCCAACATCTCTCCCTCTATATTGTGGGTGAGAGATCTTTAGAGAGGCATGTGTGACTAAATCCTCCCAACACCCCCCCCCCCCCCACACACACACACACACACACACCCCTCCGACATCATCTCAACACACTCCCCTCCAGCCCCGGTTTCTGCACTTACAAACCCCCTCCCTTAGGTATTTGACCTACATAAAAAGTGCTGTGTATGTCAGCATTAACAAAGGCACATGGGAAGTGGCAAACAAGCACTTTGACAAAAAAATTTTTTTCTGATCAGGGGTGTTAAGCACAAATGGTAACCCCACCTCTTTAACAGACTGTCACTGTAACATTTGTGACAAAAGAGCAACTACTATAGCACAGATAAAACTATACATCATGCAATCAGCAAACACAATCACACACTTTTGAGATTAACATGTTAGAACAAGGAATGCCTTGTAAATTACACAAAAAGAGCACAAGCCAAGCTGAACTTTAAAAAACAAAGAATTTTCCATGAGCCACTGAGATTTGAGCTATGGCTAATACTCTATTGTGTTATTATGATTAATATCTAAGGTTTTTATAATGTATGGTATTTATAACATTTAAGGTTGAAAGTAAAATCAGGTCAAGAAAAAAAAGATGTTAAATTCAATCCAGTTAAACTGTCATGATAAATGAATTTAATCCTTGACCTGCGTAAAACTCCTCCCAGGAGTGATGCGTTCAGGCACTCCGGGGGTGACAAACGCCTCTGGACTTCAGCCACAGTAACCTTGTACTTGGATGTGGAGCTCAACAAGGATAGACGGCCCGGTACGGAGCAGAACACCTCTGTGGGGTTTGATACCATGCCCAACAGTGACTCTTTCTGGAAGGGAAGGCCCAGCGTGTTGCCTTTCGGTAATGTGACAGGGCCTGGAGAGAAAGGGAAAAACCTACATTATGAACACAAAAAAAAAGAATTGTGGTTGGGCAACAGTGATTGTTTGCATGTGCCCTTTTCCAGTGTATGTACATAAGCTCTAAATCCTTCCTTGAATGTCTGGTTTTTTGCATGTAATCACAAGAAGCTGTGCGTGTGTGACTGTGTGTGTGTATGTATGATTAAGCAGCTCCGAGGAAACCAGTCTTTGGTGAATGAGTGTTTACAAGAAACATCTTCTTGAACCTTTCGAAATATTGTGTGGTTTTTGAAACACTGGATGCCTGTAGGTTAGCCCTCATTTTAAACACCATCCACAAACAGGTATCCACAAACAAGCTGAACCTCATTTAAACCCTTACTTTGTAAAGGACCGGCTCTCTTCTAAAAATATTTACAACTTTGTTTTTGATCACATTCAATAAATATTTATTTTAATTAAACACAAAAGGACTGACAGTCTGCAGACAAACAAAAAAACAGTACAGCACACTACAATACAAAATACAGCTATCTTCATCCTCACCAGCAAGAAAGCCCCCCTGATAATAAGTCCTCTGTATGCGATCAAGGTTCCTGCCACCTCGTAGTCCTAATACTGAGACAGAAATCACAGAGTCACATGGGTGTTTCACTTCTCCTCTGGGGCACATGCCTGGGAATGACATGCCATTGTTTACAAGTGGGAAAACCTAGATTGCCGATAGCGTGTCCTTCAGCATGGGAACAACATAATGACCCATCACTAATTTCCATAACATCGTGAAGATGGGCTGCTTTATTCTGCTGCATAAATAGCTTTCTGCTTGTAATTGTGGTATCTATCTACCTATTTATCTATAGTTTTATTGGACCCTGTTGTCAAAGCAGAAAAAGTTTCAAAACACAATTCATGCCCCAGTAGATTACCAAACTGTCCTTCCTGTGCAACCCAAACGCCACACCCAACTAGAAGCTGGTCCTGCAAACAGCCAAACACAATTCAAGATTCAAGACCAATTCCTAAATTCCTGAAAACGTGATCAGAAAAGAGTTGCTATGAAGACCTTGAAAGATGATTCAAAGCCTTCCTCCTCTGCTCCTTCCTCAACACTGCCCAGCTGTCAGATTGCTCAATTTTCCCGTCATGTTAGCTACAGCCTGCCAAATTTGAAAACAGGGATCAGCTCCTTTCCCATTGATGAATTCTTTCAAGCACCTTCATTAATAGAATAGGTGGAGGATCATGTCAAGCTTAGATGAGTGCATCTCGTGGCTACATGCAGATTATCATCGTGCAGAGCAGTAGTGCAAATAAAAGACAAAAAGCTGCCTCCTTCGTGTGCACTGAGTGCCCTGACATGCCATCAGAAGCATGGTATTTTTTGGAATATAGAGTGAAAAAACACAGTTCTTGTTGTATAATTTTCCATTCCTGTTAGTAATTACTGCATTGGCTGTACAAAGACTACAAAGGCAAATGTGCCCCAGGCAGCAAATTCAAACAAGAGCACTCTTTTTCACTTTCATTCTTTCTCTTTTTTTAATTCTAACTTTAAAGAACTTGGGAAAACTTACCTTTTTTGATGACTGTCTGATCTGGCATAATAATGTGGTCATCTACATGCTGATTAAAAAAACAAAACAAAACAAAAAACAGAAAAAAGGAGATAAGGATATTTTGTTGATGCAACATAAATGAGTAAACTTGGATTAATTTGACAGGGTTTAATTTTATAGTCACCATTTGAGTGTAAAAAATGTGAAGATATTGATATTTAATCTGCATTATTGTAAATTTATAAGGTATGGAAAATTACCTAAAATAGAAATTTTAGAAATGATCAATCAGTGACGTTTTAGTTTCTTTGTATAATCCACAAGGCTTTTAAAAATGCAAATGGGTTCAAGAATCTGCTTCCTCATGTTCAGTAACTCCAAAATATACCGTCAAGTAACTACATGTTGCAATTCTCTTACCTGAACGTCTTCCAGTCCAGGGCCCATGTCATGAATTCCCATATTATCACCAATAACAGAAGAGTCCAGGCTGTGCGGGGGTAGCAGCTCCGGCCGCCGGAACCCCTCTCTCCTCACCCCGGACGAGCCTCCCTCGAGGCCCATGATTTGACTCGCCAGTCCGCTCCTCCCGAGTCCCTCCTGGCCTTGCCGGCCGGGCCAGGACGGCTGCTGCTGGTTCGACGAAGGCGACTGGTGTATGGAGTTGATATTGAACGGGTCGCTGAGATGGGAGTATGGGTCGGTGGACTGGGGATAGGAGATGGGCTGGTACGGAGGTGGAAAGTACGGGGGCTGGAAGTCTGAACCAGCCGAGTGTGAGAGGGAAGGAGACGGGCTGTAGAGGTGCTGACTGACCGCTGGCAGGTGAGGCAGCCGGGGGTTCCCATTGCTGGTGCCGTCATGCCTTTCCTTTGAGAGGGAAGAGACAAGACAGCTGAGAGAGATGGCAACTGCAGGGTGATTGGTGATATATATCGCTTAAGGAAATTATAGGTGTCAAATACCTTATCTCTTGAAAGATTTCCAATAAAAACTAATTACCAGTTGGGTGCACATTAGGACTGGTAATAGAATTTTTCTTTACCTATTTAAATAAAGGTGTATTTTAAATCACTTACCATAATAACTATAAAACAAAATATTTTATTTCATATTATTATTATTAGTATTATTACTATTAGTATTATTATTATATTCTTAAAGCTTTATTCAATTTTATTTTCAAGAACTGTGACAAAGTTTTAAAGTTGTAAATTCTTTTGATACGTTTTGCCCAGCATTCATGTCCAAACATGCGTCCTGCTTTTTTAATGTTACAGACTTGTTCATGCTTCTTTTTTCTTTTTTTTTTTTTCGCTATTCGCACATGGAAATAAACACCAGCCCGCGCAATAATTCGTGTTGTTGAAAACCAAACTTTTCCTTCTCGTTTTGAAAGGTGGTATAGGCTATATTATCAAAACTCACCTCACAGTCTTCTTCATATTTTACGTTGTCAGCTAGTTTCCACAACATTCTGTCCGAGTTTCTCCGTTGCAAAAATAATAATAATAATAACGAGAAAGCAAAAGGAAGAGGAAGGTAAAGAAAACGTCGCCTTGGGTTAATCCAGGTGTGAAAAAAATGGGAGCTCCTTTGAGATCATGCACCCGATTGCTCTTCTGCTGCAGCAAACAGACAGCAAAGCTGTGAGGTGAGGGCTCAAGGGCAAACTGACCCACGGACTGACGCTCCCACAGCAGACAGGCTATGAGCCTATGAGTCTCCGTATCCACTGTGAGAGAAAACAGTCGTCAGACAATATTTCTCACCCCCCTTTCTCTCTCCGGTCAGTACGCTCTGGAGTTGTGTTGTGAAAGTGGGCAAAACTGCTGCATAAGAAACTTGACTCCCTCTTTTGGACGAAACAGAGATGTTCAATCCTATTGGGCCGAAATAATTAGCTCTGTGTTATATCTGCACAGCCACTGTGAGAGGGCGTTACCCTGTCCAAGGATGCCGATGACAGGGTGGAACAAAAAATCTTCTGATTGGCGGGAGGATGGCCCAATCAGAGGCCTGTCCGTCTTTGCAGGCGTCTTGTGTCTGTGTCAAAAATTGAACCGCTCCCCCGCCCCCCTCCAAACTTCTAAATCACTTTTTGTGTGCAGCGATGGATACAGCTTCTTACCACAAAACTAATTAGGCTTCCTCTGATTTTGGTTTTCTATTCAAAGCCAATGGGTTCCTGAACCGAAGGGCTTGTGTTTATGAAAAGACAACCAGATGTTCTGGATTACAGTCCTTGTAAACTAACTGGGTCCGGTGTAAATCGTTGTGAAATAAATCCCCTTATCATTAAAAAAAACAGCTTATTTTACCGCAAGCTGAACATGTTTCCTATCGATAAAACTTAAAAATGGCGGATTAAGTTCAATGTCCAGGGTGATCATTGCCCGGAACCGACGCAATGAGAATTAAAAAACGCCGCTCTGTTTAGTTTTTTTTAAATTATTATTTACAACTTACACAATTTACTTGTTTATTTATTTTCTTTCTGGTTAAAAATTGATACATCATATTTTTTTAGTCCTGGTCACCTTCTCTTCCTGCACCCCAGCATCAAATTAAATTTTCAAAAGTCACAGCCATTATTATCTCTGATCGTAGTAGATATTTTACTCTTCTTTACTGGTTTTACTGCATATTCCGAAAATAATCCAATATGTCGTTTTTATTATTATTATTATTATTATTATTATTATTATTATTATTATTATTGTCTCGCAGAAAATGCTGTTTTAATTTATTTTTATTTTTATTTTTTTTTCTCATTCAGCTCTAAAGCAGTTTGGACGCCTAGCGAATCTATAAACAGGTCAATGAGGTTTTAATGTTATGGTTTTTCTCAGTGGTCGTTAAGTGCTCGTTTCAAACCACAACAAACCCCAAAGTTTAGCAGATTATTTATGTCTCAAAAAACTATGATTTGAGGTCTAAGCCTCCATGGAGAGCCTTTTGTCCTTTAGGGGAAGAGTCTGTGGCGTCTATCCAGCAAGCTGTGATTCTCTAGTGAGTATGGGAACCACCGGACGTGAGCGACAGAGGATTATCCTCTTCTTTTATTCTTTTTTTTTTTTTTTCTGCGTGTTACATCTTGGCTTGTTGTGATGCCAAGCAGAAGCAAAATGCACGTTGATTAAATATCATCCTCTTTAGCAGGCCTGCAGAGGGAAATTAATCACGCTTGGCTGGACTGTATAATTCTTTGAACAATCTGAAAAGTGCAGCTTGGCATGATGATGACAGTGATATCTGACTCATTTGATGTCAGGTGTAAAGATGAACTGGATCTGTTCCCGGGTAGCCTACATTAAAAAATACCACACATGCCAATGAGCCTGTCTTGCCAGGTGATTTGTTTAATTTAACTCTGAGCAACAAAAATGAAAAACACATTTTGAAAACGTGGGTAATCGCTGAAAACCGATAGGCTTTAACTTAAAAAAACAACCAAAGAAACAAGCAATTATATTTGTGCAGTAGCCCATTATTACGTGGACATATTATTTACGGGTTAACTTCTAGTATGGTTATAGACATGGTTGCAACTGACTATTTACCCTAAATAGGAATTGATCTTTTAAATAATTCAGAAACATTAAATTAAATCTATCTCCAAAATTGACTACAAACCAACATTTCAATACAAACAAATCAGACTGCATGATTCTGACTATTATTAAACCACAAGTGTTTCCGAAACTCATACAGCGCTACAAGATTACAAATCAATGATTAAGGGAAAATACAAAATAATAGGAATCCAGTTTGAACAGAAAAGACATAAAACAAGATTTGTTTTTAATGAAATCAGTCGTAAGAGAAAACCAACTAAACACAAGCACACAGGGGGAGGAATCAACTCACCCTCCAGTCTATCCTCTCCAGCACAGACATCTGCAAGGCTCCAGTTGCAGCAATCCCTCTGAGACCCAGCGACTGACTGGAACCATGGAGTTTTACTTCACCTGATTATTGTGCTGTGCGCATGCGCTGGTGTAACCGATACACCTGAGAGGGACAAATCAAATGTCACTCATCCGCGGAATCTTGCAGGTGCTTTTTTTTTTCTTGGCTTATGGAATAAAATATTTTTTGAAAGTGTGAAACAAAGTCTAAGACTGAAATAAAATGATGGTTTTGAAGATACACGCTAGAGTAATGTGCGGATCCAGGAATGGCAATATACAAATGAAAAGCGGATTTTTAAAATCCAGTCTCAGCATATTAAAAGGTAAAAACAAAGTTTTACAGGTTGAGGATTGAAAGAAACCGAGAGAAAAAGAGAGGAATTTTGGGATGAGGTAATTCCTCCCCCCTTAAATGACATCGCCCCGGGCTGACCAGAAGAATCTCCTTTCAAAGGCAACTCAAGCTTTTTAAAGGCCAAGAATGGCTGCTGTTATCTGATCTCCACCTAAATGTTTTTTTTTTTTTCCCCAAGTAAAACCAGTGAATACATCAAAGTTTCTCAAAATGTTGCTCAAAATGTGATTGATAAATCTGGTTAAAGGAAAAGAAGAGCGCACCTCTCTGATCCGCGTTCTGACCTGCCATGACGCTGCGGCCTCAAGAAATCTCACTGTCACTGAAATTTCATTTGGGCTAATTTAGATAGCGTCTCTTTATAAAGGCACCACGCAGACAATTACCAAATCAACAAAGAAAAGGTCTGAACATGTAATCAGCACCATACAGATCACACAGAAAGCAGGTAGGATGAAAACTGCTTGCAATAAAGTAATTAAGTACTTTATCAGATTGAAAAGATTAATCATAACTCAAGCATTTATTTGAACTAAGCTGGATTAATCAATTTCCTTTTAATATTTTAGATTTGAGGTTGTTTTTCCATTAAAATATAGTTGTGCGACCTTTATGAATGAAAACATCCGGGCTCAACAAACTGAAAAATAGAGCACAATTTTTGATTGAATTTTGTAATATTTGTTTTATAAAGGTACACCCGCCGGTCAAAGCTTCTTCGACATTTGAAAGACCACAGTAGGCCAAGATGGATGGAAAAAAAAAAAAAAAAATCTAGTTTAATAAATAAAGTATTTTATCGTTCCCATCATTTTTTCAGCCGTGATGATTCTTACTTGTACCACTTAGGCATATACTATAATAAATCTCAATAAAAACAAATAAAAAGGAAAACATTTATAGTGTAACTTTGTGCTTAGAAACTAAAACATCCTTGTATAAAAATTAATGATAAAAATTCATGAATAACGTGATTTTAATACATACGTTATCCGACTTAAATCACAAGCGCCACTCTACTCTATGACTATGCATCTGGTGCCATCTTGTGGTTCAATCCCCTCATTACAATATCGAGAGTTTGTAGACTACACTAGTATGTATTTTGCTCCTACTTTTTTACTGACCAATATAAATCATGTATTACTGTGAAGAGAAAGGAAACAAACAAATCAAAAAATCTGAAATATGTGCCACACGGCATTGTGGAATCACCTTTTGTTGCAGAGCTTGTTAGAAAACCTTTGTGAACATCATCGTCCAAGCCTTAGATTCCCTCAGATTTCAGTTTTGACTGGCACACAGGCATAACATATGGATATGTGTCCATCTTCTAAACCTTATATGTCTCCATACATATAATAATATATGTCTCCATACATATATGGTTTAGAGGTATACATACATATGTATGCATACCATGGCAGCTCTGGCTGCATTTTTCCAGCTTCCACCAGACTTTCTATCCGTATCCTCTAACAGCTTTCCCAACACTTCTGAGAAAAAGCACTACCACAGCCTGACTCTGCCTTCACCATCACCCACCAGGTCAGTTTTCCACTGCATGTAATGTCTTGAGAAGGAGGGCAGAAAGTTCAAATATGCCAAATGACTTGTGACAAATCTGAGTCACAAAATTTAGTCACAAGTTGAGATAACTGCCAGGTCAACAGATTTCCCCATAAGATCCGTGGATATCTGTAATCCTCCAGTATTACCATTGGTTTCTTGGCTGTTTCTCTGATGAATAAAATATATACTTTATTAATCCCAGAGGGAAATTGGCATTTCTGTGTAACCTGTCCAAAATAACACGCAAGATTCTTCTCTCCTTTCACTGAATGTCTTGTTAGTTTAGATAGACTGCTACATCTTGATAGGTTTGCTGCTGTTTACACTTTCTTGGATGATGTATTGAACTGTTCGTTATGAGATGTTTAAATGTTATTTTTCAACTGAACTTTGCTGTAAATTTCCTCCATCTTATCTTGTGTGATCTTTTGACTCCATAATGCTGTTTGATCACATATTACTATAAATAAATGAAACTATTGAATCCACCAGTAAGTTTATTAGCATTTGATTTAAGACTGCAGGAATTCACCGGTTCCATTTCTGTAGCGTTAGAAAAGTGGTGGTTCTGAGGCGCCACCTCTTGGTGAAAAAAGAATGCGAGCATCAAGGTGTTGATAGTATGGCTGCTTCAGACCTGTTCTGAGATGCGCATTTATGACCAACGTAAGTAGTTCCCAGATTGTATCTCGTGCTCTTTTTGTTTTTTATAGGTGTGAGAGGAAATATTTGGGCTTTTTAAATATACTACTGTGTGTTTATTATTAGCATTGCAGATGAATGAACAGAATGGAAATCTGTTCTAAACATTTCCTTCCTGTTAATTGCACAATTTCTGAATCACAGAGGAAGCTCACAGTTTGTAAATTAACTCAACTAATTAATGTTTGTGCACTCTTCCCTCTTAAAGCTTCAAGTATTCTATTTGATTTATTTTCTTTTTTGCTTAGTGGGTTAATAAATGCAAATGTAAGCTGGGTATTTTATATCTTTTTACAAAATTTCTTCGCATTGTGTTTTAGGACTACACAAAACCACCATAAACAGCTATG